CAGAAATAAACTTAAGTCACAGCCAACATGATTTAATGGATTAGATATGAGATGTTAACAGCAAACTTGCATGATAAAAATGACTCTTGAGAGTTCTGAGCTCATCAACTAGAAGGGTACTCTTGACATTCGGAAATGGGTAAATACGCAGGAGGGACAGGTTAATGAGTACAACAGGGAAAAAGAATCTACCTTTAGAAAGTAAAGTTTTACACTCCTAATATACACTGAAGTGGCAATGATATATATGGAACAAGGTATACAATTCTGCATTGCATATACATGTTCTATGTATGCATATTTCAGATACAAATGTTGATGTGCAAACAGAAAAAATGTCAGAAAAATAGCAAAATAAAGTGACCTGACATTGTTGATGAACAGGAAAATAGGTGATAATTGTTCACTTTTTCTGTGTATTCTTAATTTTCCAATTTTTCATCAAAAAAGCTGTACTACTCCTTTTTGGAAGATTCGTTTATTTTTATTGTAAAGTCAGATTTACAGAGACAGGGAGACACAGAAAGATCTTCCATCCCTGGTTCACACCCCAAGTGGCCGCAATCACCTGAGCTGAGCCAAACCAAAGCCAGGATTCAGGAGATTTTTCTGGGTTTTCCACATGAGTGCAGGGTCCCGAGGCTTTGGGCTGTTCTCAACTGCTTTCCCAGGCCACAAGCAGGGAGCTGGGTGGAACATGAACCGGTACCCATATGGGATCCCAGCATATGCAAGGCGAGGATTCCAACACAAGCCATGGTGCTGGGCCCTACATTTCTTTCATAACGAGGAAATACTGAAATATTTTTTGTTTTGTTTCCCAATAAAGAATTGGATTACTGGGAAACTAGAAATGAAGAAGTAATAGTTTTAAGGGGGTCTGGATTGTATTTCACAATTGGAGGTTTGGACAATTGAGGCTTTCTCAAGAGAATGTCAGGAACCTAAAAAGTTAATGTATCAGTGAAATAACCTGAGGGAGACGGTAATAGCAGAAACTAAGGAAATATGTAGGACTGCATATTTGGCTCAGCTGTTGGGACTTCAGATGCCCACATCCCATTTGATACTGCCTGGTATTCAGTCTCAGCTACATTTCCTGATTTCAGTTTCCTGATACTGCACACCCTAGAAAGCATCAGGGTATACCACCGGAAATGGGTTCCTGGCCATCCAGGAGAGACCTGGAAATGAGTTCTTGGCTTCTAGCTTTGGGATCAACCAGGCCCAGGTGTTGCAGGCCTCAGGGAATGAACTACCAGATTAACATCTTTCTCCTCATCTCTCTGCCATTATGCCAGTCAATAATTATTGAACAAATAATAGGTGATATTTACATTGTGTTGTAACATAAATGACATGTTTTAGAGCTATCAATATTCTATGGTTCAGAAGACAGATTTAAAGCTAGACAAAATTGAACTAAGGAGGTATGTCTGCAATAATAGAGATAGAGCCCTACCTACAGCAAGCCCAGCCAGTCAGCACATGTTCTGGCCCTTATATACACCAACAGATGCAATGGCCTGGCCTAACCCCTCCTCCCCCAAACCCAGCTCCCATGTAGGTCAACAGTTGTTATAAGCCCTGCCCAGGTCAGTCCACATCCAGTCCCAGCTCTCACAGTCACCAGCAGGAGCAGTGGCCCAGCAAGAGAGCCCCTGCGGCCCTCTACCAGGTTTGATCCTGACCTGGAAGCTTGCATGTGCTGGTGGATGCTACAGCCCAGTCTGGCATTCCCTGTCTCACCTTAACATTTTCTAGTGGGTTCTGGTCTAGTAGGGAAACTGTGTGCATTCCTCTGCTGTGTTGCAGCTCTTGCTAAAGTGCATAAGAGCCAGTACCTGGGAGGAGACAGGCTGGACTAGGTGGCAACATCTGTTGGGATATGTGTGGACTGGTTCATGGAGTGGGTGGGCTGAGCTAAGCTGCAACACATATTGGTGTACAGGAGAGCCTGATTTGGATGCAATAGGGCTGAATTAGTCTGTTGTACATACTGGTATGTGCAAGAATCAGGGCTAGGGGCAGGCCTGGTGGGGAGTTCTTTGGGGTCTCCCCAAAATAGGCTGCAGTTCCCACTGGTGTGTGTGAGGGCCATATCTGTGGCATGCTGGATTGGGCTGGATACAGCGCCCGTAGGTTTGCAAGGGACAGGAGGCTAGAGATGAAACTGACCAGGCAACTACAATTACCAATGTGTGCAGACTGATACAGGTGATGGACTGAACCAGATCCTCTACTGGCCGGCATTTGCAATTCAGGTCTGGGGCCACGCCAGGTAAAGTTTCTTACAGGACTCTCTAACTGGACCACTGAACTAAAACCCAGGCCACGGGGAAAATCATAGGATTTGTGGTCCAACCTTGGAATGCATGTATTGTGACTGGGCCCCCTTGATTGCTGATGCCTATATAGTGAACATCATGCCCAGGTGTATAGGGTGGACATGATGGCCAGCCCATTTAGGCCTGCAGAGGGTGTCTAGTGCCATATAAGAAGATGGAGAGTAGAACAGCTTGGACAACATTCCTGGACAAGTTTTGGCAGCGTGTCCGGGTGAGTGGACTGTCAAGCAATGGACCTTGGAAGTATTTTCTCAACCTTGGAGCAATGAAACCAACAGCATCTCAGAATTCTCAAGACAACTCAAGCAATACCCTTGAAACATTCTTCTCCAAAACTGGATTTCTAAGAAGACATCAAATGGACATCCCCGCAGGGTGCTGATGTAGTTTGGCAGCTGGGAGCAGCTCCCTCCGTTATCCTCCTTCCCTAACCCTCCTCATACTGGAGTAAAGGAAAATTGGAAGCATTTGTCCCGCCCACTATGCTCTACGCTTCAACCCTTGTCACCCTAATCAGTGGTCCTCACGTGTCTACATTCTTATCAACTATGTAAACAATACCAAAAATAAAATCAAATTTATAAAAATGAAAAAGGACCTCAATCCACACAATTGTGACAGAAGTAGTAATCAGGATAGATGAAAATAATTCAAGATGTTATAATTTTTTGTAATTGACTGGATTGATAAAGGTGCTTGAAAGAAAAGCTTTCAATACTTCTAAATATATTGACTTGGGTAACAACATAAATGGTGGCACATACACTCAAACAGACCATATAAGAGAACAACTAAGCTTGAGAATAATAAATTCAATTTAAACTATTGGATATCTAGAAAAGCTATCACAGGGGTGTATGGCTCTGGAGGAAACAAAGTATTCCTGTTACTATGTTACCACTTGGGGTTCTGAAATCAGACTCTCAATCCTGACTATACAACCTTCTATCACAGTAATCTTGAGCAACTTTTGATAATTCCTATAAGATTTTATTTGTTTGTCTGTTTAACTGAAAGACAGAGTTACAAATATATACAGGGAGAGAGAGAGAAATCTTCCACCACCAGTTTGCTTCCCAAATGACCAGAATAGATAGTCTTAAGCCAGGCCACACTGGATTCATCCAGGTCGCCCATATGGGTAGCTGGGCTATTTTCTGCTACAATGCCAGGTGCACAAGCAGGGAGCAAGATCAGAAGTGAGGCAGCCTGGACATGAATTGGTGTCCATATATCCAACCCACCACACCATAATGCCAGCCCCAACTTTTGATCATTGCTAAGCCTGTTTTATCATCTGTAAAGTGCCGTTAACAACATTGGAACAACTTCAAAAAGTTCCCGAGAGAATTCAACGAGAGTACATTTTTAAAAATCAATGATAGTATGGGCCTGGCTGCGTGGTCTAGCAGCTAAAGTCCTTGCCTTGAACACACCAGGATCCCATATGGGCAACAGTTCTAATCCCGGTAGCCCTGCTTCCCATCCAGCTCCCTGCTTGTGGCCTGGGAAGGCAGTTGAGGACGGCCCAAGGTTTCAGGACCCTACACCCACATGGGACACCAGGAGGAAGATCCTGGTTGCCAGCTTCGGATCGGCACAGCACCGGCTATTGCACTCACTTGGGGAGTGAATCATCGGATGGAAGGTCTTCCTCTCTATCTCTCCTCCTCTCTGTATATCTGACTTTGTAATAAAAATAAATAATAAATAAATCTTTTTTTAAAAGTCAATGGTAGTACACATGTAACAAACACTCAATAAACCCTAATTTCCTCTTGAGATTACGTCTGATTTCCACTCCCACTCCTTTGTAAGCGACTCCAAATCATATCCAAATTTTCAAACCATAAAAGTAAAAATTACAAACTGTCATGATTTCATTGTTCTTTGAAATTCTAATATGCAGACTTATAGCATATACTCATATAGAAAAATTTAATAATACGAGACTGAAATCAATAAATACGAAATAACAAAAAATAAGTATAAATCAACAAAAAAAACCCCACTTAAATCCTGGAAGTAGCAAAAACACAATAACTACTGATTGAACAGCTCTATCATCAAGAGAAAGATATAAGCAAACCATAACAAATATGTACTTTTGATTTTGTATATCAAAATAAACTTTTCAAATTATTGAATTCATGGTTTCTGGCATTGGCCTGGCCAATTCTAACTGTTGAAGTTATTTGGGGACTAGCCCAATGGTTTGAAGATATCTCTCTGGCTAGGTCTGTCTTTAACTCTTAAGACTTAAAAAAGCAATGAAAATAAAATTAAATGCAATATGTTTGCATCTTTACAGGATAGCGTATAATATTTCAACACATACAGTATATAGGTCAATTAACCAAAGCAACAAGTCTCTCCATTTCCTTAGCTTTTCTTTGTGTTTGCAAGATAGCAGATCTTCTACTTCTTGCTATCATACAGAATGCACTACTAGCAACTAGTCATTGCACTGTACTATGAAACACTTCACAGAAATAAACTTAATTCATGCTATAACACATTTCCTCTTGAAGTTAATTATTGATATCATTGTTCAATATATTTTATACAGTTAAAGCCTATTTATGGAAACAACACTGTAACAAGATTGTATCTCATTATAAAAATTAAAGTACCAAGAAGATACATTTATACCTTTTTTCACATTCCACACTTTGTTTCAGCTTGTTTCTCATGACAGAAGTTGCATGATTAAGATTCCTAGAAGTAAATCAGTATATTAATCCAAAAGCCTATAAGAGATTATTATATGCATGATTATTAAAATGCCTCCAAAATAAATTGCATTTAGATACTCATAAGCACACTGTGTATAAAAAATGCATTAAACCAGACTTTCTGCATACTTTCTTTCATATGTCTTTTTTTGAAGGCATCGATGTATCTTAAGCATATGCTACTATTTTCTTTGCATATTTAAATATTGGCTGAGAGAGAAAACAAAAAAAAATATGAAGACTGCTTAGGTAACATCTTGATTGATTTGATTTTCCGTGAATAGCAAATGGTGATGGTGCCACAATACATAATGATTTTGAAAAAGTCAAATAATAAACTTTAATTATAGAAGTTTCCTGAACTTTCACTGGATAAATTAATGTGTATTCAAGGAAAACTGAAAAATTATAAAACAGTAAAAGAACTGAATGTCTATAATTTTATAGGATTACTACATATGTAAATTCAACCTAACTTTTATTTATTTTTTTAAAGATTTATTTATTTATTGGAAAGTCAGATATACAGAGAGGAGGAGAGACGGAAAGAAAGATCTTCCATCTGATGATTCACTCCCCAAGTGAGCGCAACGGCTGATGCTATGCGGATCCAAAGCCAGGATCCAGGAACTTCTTCCAGGTCTCCCACGTGGGTACAGGGTCCCAAGGGTTTGGGCCGTCCTCGATTGCTTTCCCAGGCCACAAGCAGGGAGCTGGATGAGAAGCAGGGCCACCAGGATTAGAACCGGTGCCCATATGGGATCCCGGGTGTGTTCAAGGAGAGGACTTTAGCCACTAGGCCACGCTGCCAGGCCCTCAACCTAACTTTTAAAGGTTTGTGGGGCCAGTGGTATAGCATGAGAAAAGCAGCAGATGACGGTACAAGTGCTTGGGCCCTGGCACCTGGGGAGACCCAGATGAGACTCCTGGTCAGGGTGACGCAGCTCTGACCTTTACGGGCATGTGAGAAGTGAAATCATGGATGGAACAATTCTCTTTTTCCATCATTTCCTTGCTCTAAATCTGACTCTCAAATAAATAATGTTTTTAATTTAATGGCTTGTGTAAAAAGGAGCAAAATACCTGACTTCTATTTAAAGTAAAATTTTCTATTTAAAGTTAAATCTGTCAAAAGTAGATAAGTATGGTGGCATAACAGGCTAATCCTCCACCTGCAGCACCAGCATCCCAGACCAATGCTAGTTCAAGTCCTGGCTGTTTGACTTCCCATCCAGCCCCTTGCTTGTGACCTAGGAAGGCAGCAGAGGATGGCCCAAGTCTTTGGACCCATGCAGCCACATAAGAGAAACAGAAAAGCTTCATGGCTCTTGCTTTCAGATCAGTTCAGCTCCAGCCATCAGGGCCATTTGGAGAGTGAACCAGCAGATGAAAGATGTTTCTCTGTCTCTCCTCACTATATAAAATCTGCTTTCCAAATAAAAATATATAAAAACTACCAAAAGAATTTATATACAAACTTAAAATTGAAGCTACCTATTGACTAAGAAAGCACAGATTGACCTAAATATAAGTGGATAATTACAGAACCAAAATTATCACAAAGAAAATAATTTTGATTACTCTGGTTTCCTAGCAGCTTGGGTCTAGTAGAACCTCACTAGGAGAAAGGTACGATAAAGTATACAGCATAACTATCATAGGCAAACTGCTAAACTTTGAACCAAATAATAACGGAATTAAGGATACCTTTATTTTTCTTTATGTGGGCAGATACTAAAACTGTCAGAAACCCTAAAACTTGGAAGAATTCGGAGAATTAAAATATCTAAGATTATTTGCAAAAACAGATTTTGTAAGAGTTATTTTTGAAAAGTACTTATGTTAAATAGTAAGCATAGTTCTGAGGGAAATATCACAGGGGATGGGGGAGACAAATGATGCTCTTCATAGGTAAATACTGATTCAATTCCACCCCATACTCACTAGCATTGTAATGGCTGGTGTATATGGTTATACTGAGCAACATACATACATAAGTATATATGTATACATATGTGGGGGGTAGGGTGGTGAGATTTATTTATCTATGAAATATTTTATATAATTGAGAATTCACTTGGGTAAAATTCTGCAAAACATACTAGTATTTTGTTATACTCTGATGCTAAAATCTAAAATAAACATTTTATTTAAATATCTATTCAACATTATTAACACATATCCCTTATTTACCAACTAGTATTTATTTTTAAGTAGAAGACTATACGAATCGGGTCAGGCACAATGGCTCAGTGGTTAAATCCTCACCTTGCATAGAGCCAGAATCCCTAATGGATGCCAGTTCATGTCCCGACTGTTAAACTTCCCATCCAGCTCCCTGCTTCTGACCTGGGAAAGCAGTCAAGGAAGGCTCAAAGCCTTGGGACCCTGCACTCATGTGGGAGACTTGGAACAAGCTCCTGCCTCCTAGCTTTGGAATGGCTCAGCTTCAGCCGTTGAAGCTACTTAGGCAGTTAACCAGTGGATGGAAGATCTTTCTGTCTCTCCTTCTCTATAAATCTGGGTTTCCAACAATAACAACAACAACAAAAAACAAATCTTAAAAAAAAATTTTAAAGCATATACCACACAACTGCATAACCTAAACCTTTCATTCTTTTTTTTTTTTTTTTCCAGAGGGATACAGGAGCTCGCAAAGGGAGAACTTGGCCACTAAGCCATCACACCGGGGCATCCCTGTACAGAGAGATCTTCCATTGGTTGGTTCAATCCCCAGAAGCCCAAAATGGCCAGGCTAGGACAGGCAAAAGCCCAGGGGCAGCAGTTTCTTTCAGGTCTCCAATGTCGGTGTCAGGCACTCAAGAACTTGGACTATCTTCCATTGATTTTTCCAGACAATTATCAGAGAGCTGGTTCAGAAGTGGAGCAGAATATCATCCTGATCAATTAAAAACCCCAACTTAACATCAACAACATTTGCAATGAAAGACTCAACTGAATTTGATCTGTAATACTGCAACAAGATGGAGGAATCCACCATGGGGGGAGGGTAGAGGGAGGGGTTGGGGGAATCCCAGAGCCTATGAAACTGTGTCACATAATGCAATGTAATTAATAAAAAAAGAAAAAAAAAAAAGAAGTGGAGCAGCAGGACATGAACCGACACACATGCGCAGCATTGCAGGCAATGGCTTTATGTACTTTGCCATAACACCAGCCCCATTCCTTTTAGTTCTTAAGGTTTCCACAAATGATCCACTTCCTGGTGGACCTTTCGACAATAACAGTGGTAACAGTATGATCTGGAACTCCAAGGGCTCCATTTGTATTCATACTTCATGTACATCAACCAAACCCAAGCATGAAAGAAATAAGAAATTAGCTTTACAGATAATAAAGGTGACATTAGTGAAGGTAGCAGATAAGAAAGGAAGGACAGATTTCAAGCGTTGAAACAACTACATAACTAAAACATGGTATAGGTTAGCATGAAGCTTTTGGACCTGAAAATATAATAAGATTTAGTTATTTGAAAGTCAGAGTGAGAGAAAGAGAGAGAGAGAGAGAGAGAGAGAGAGAGAGAGAGAGAGAGAGAGAGAGAGAATGAGGCAGAAAGAATCCAAACTGTGCCAGTTCTCTCCAGGTCTCCAGTCCTGGGCCCCGAGCTGAGGCAAGCTGAAGCCAGAAACCTAGTGCTTCATCTGGGACTCCCACATGGGTACAGGGGCCCAATCACGTAGTCCATCTTCTGCTGCTTTCCCAAGCACAGCAACAGCGAACTGGATGGGAAGTAGAGCAAACGGGACTTCCACTGGAGCCCATAAAGATGCCAGTATTTCCAGTGGTGGCTGGCTGTACCAGCCATAACACAATATAGGTCCCAGACTAAAATATTCTTATGGATAAATGAAAATCACATGAAACGAGTAACATATATAATACTTATAATTCCAAACTAAAAAAATAAATTTCTTCAAATCTAATTTTGTTTCTTTGATTTTTAACTAACATTAGCTTATTTCCATAATTCTGTTTTGCTCTAGCTGTATCATATATAAGCACAAAGCTTAACAGAAATTTTCTAGAATTTAATCATCTGGCAAAATTAAGATACTGCTTTTTAAAACACTATAGTTGTATCTTTTTTTTAATTTCCCAAATCTAACGAAGGTACAACTAGAATTTGTTGACCACTATTTCAAAACAGTTAAAACATCAACTACAAAGGACCTCAACAGAGGTCAACAGAGTTAGACACAAGTAGAAAAAATAATTCAGTATATTGCTAGGGGATGTACAAAAATTAATTTTGCTTGCTTTTTCACAGCAGCTTATTTTATTTATATAATGTGAATAAATTTCACATATTTCAGAATACAGGTTTAGGAGCATAGTGAAACTTCTCACCCTACCCTCCCTCCTGTCCCCAGTCCCAATCCCCATGTACCCTTCTCCTTTCTTTTTCATTTTTACAATGGCATAATTTCATGTCAGTTTGCAATCAGTCTTAACACTCCATTGGTAAAACTTTTAATATACAGCAAGTAGGAAAAAAGGCCTACAATTCTTCAAGGATATAGACCAATATAAACAATAATTTATATTTAAAGATGACAATCTCACTCACATAGATTATATTTTTTTTGTAGTCTGTGTATTATTTAACACAGATCAGGGGAAACTTCTTTTATTTGTCATTTGAGGACTGGCATATTTTCACTAAACAGTGATTTTTAGTTATTTATACATCTATGTTTATCGCACTTCAACTCATATTACCTAAGATAGAGAATCAACCCAAATATCTATCAACAGATGACTTGATAAAGAAAATGTAGTATACATACAACAGGAAATACTACTCAGTCATTAAAAAAACAATCCTGAGATCCGGCCTTTTACAACAAAATGAATGCAATTTATAAGTCCAAGAACAACCCATCAGTCCATATAGGTAAATATATGCATCCCAACTAGACAAAGAGTGGGCAATTTTCAAAATAATCAGACTGCAGTCTCTGAAGTGTTATGAGCTATATACTTGATTGTTTATTTTCTGATGTGTTTTCCCACTTTTTTGATTATCAATTCTGTGAAATGTGCTATTATTTTCTAGGATATTTTCATCTAAGCATTTTCTTAAAGAACTAAACCTGTTTTTTGGAAATAATGTGAACTAAACAAGTGACAAAACTATCTTGAGAGAACAATCACTGAAATCAATGAAAGAAATTTTCAAATTATCTCTAGTCTTTGAATACATATGTAGCTTTTCTAGCTAACAGCTAACAACACATTTGCTCATTTCAATGAATAGCAAGCTTAGAACACTTAATAATCTAGGATTAAAGTAGAAGTCTTTGGTGGCATTTCCTCATATATTCGGATAAGTATTATCCAGAGAAATTATTTTTTATCTGTGCCTAACAATAAACAAGCAAAAAATGATAATGATTGTGTTTCAACCTAAATATTAGAACTCCTACACTGGGAATTTAAACAGCATTTCAGATCCATCATTAATAAAGTGGAGATAGATAATATACTGTCAAAAAGGAAAATTTCTAATCAGAGAAGATATAGATAATATAAATTCCCTGTAGGATATATTCTTATGCAGGATTGCTCTTACATTTTCTGGTCTCATTCAAATCCAACTTTTGTGATGGAAAAAAATTTAATCACCACATCTAAGAAATGAAAGCAACAGCAATATATTTTAAAAGAATGAAAAAGGTCATTTAGTGGAAAAACTAAATTCAGCATAAAAAAATTTATAAAATACAGTTTAAGTTCAACCATAAAAGAGCTGGTTAGGAAAGCTGTAACTTCTCTAGAGATTGCTTTTTAAAAAGTGTTCTTTAGGACTTGATTATTGTATACATTTCCAGGTTTATTATATTAACGTTACTATATCTTAATCTAAAAAGTCATTAATGTGCAACAACATGCAAAAAGGATGAATGGCAAATACTACTTTTGCATACATCTTGAAGAACAACAGGCTATTGAAGGAGACAATTTTTAGCTAAGTCAATTGTTCCTAATGCTCTCAATCTGTTGATTTAATGTTAAACAATCAGTTGATCAATTACAGATTTAGTGAGTACTATGTACAAAGCCCAGTGTTAGGTGCCAATTTTCACTGATTGCAAAATAATCACAAAATAAATCTGTAAAAGCTAACTCTTCTGTCAATGTTGTAGGTAGGCGAGGAAGACTAATTTATGTCACAGGGATAACAAAATCAAAACAAAGAATAGAAATCAGAAATATAGAAATACTATATATTATAATGTTAAAATCTATAATTATGTACTTAACACTATCCTTAACACTACAAGAAAGATATTGCTATGTATTCTGAAGAAATAGTAAACATTCTTTTCCTATGATAATTCACACAATTTTTTTTACCTGATAGGTAGAGGAGAAATTTTGAAACAACTATTTTTAAGCTCCACAGAGCAGATGTTGATTGCTTCATCAAACAATTTAAACTACAGAAACTATCAACATGTACATTATATTGGATTGAAAAAGATGCACAGGGCCCGGCGCGGTGGCGCAAGTGGTTAAAGGTCCTCGCCTTGCATGCCCGGGATCCCATATGGGCGCCGGTTCTAATCCCGGCAGCCCCGCTTCCCTTCCAGCTCCCTGCCTGTGGCCTGGGAAAGCAGTCGAGGACGGCCCAAAGCTTTGGGACCCTGAACCCGCGTGGGAGACCCGGAAGAGGCTCCTGGCTTCGGATCGGCATAGCATTGGCTGTTGTGCTCACTTGGGGAGTGAATCATTGGACGGAAGATCTTCCTCTCTGTCTCTCCTCTCTGTATATCCGCCTTTCCAATGAAAAAATAATAAAAATAAATCTTTAAAAAGAAAGAAAGAAAGAAAGAAAGAAAGAAAGAAAGAAAGAAAGAAAGAAAGAAAGAAAGAAAGAAAGAAAGAAAGAAAGAAAGAAAGAAAGAAAAAGATGCACAGCCTCATGCATGGACAAGTTGAAAAAGGCCCGTTAGAAAACAATCAAAGGAAAAATTAGAACAACAAATGTTAACTGGCAGTGATATAGAAGAAACAATTATTGATATTTTCTAGTACAGGTTGAGCAAGCCTAACTCAAAATTCAGAAATCCAAAATGCTCCCAAATCCAAAACTTTTGTATTTCAGATTTTGAATTACAAAAGCTCTACCAGTAACACTTACACAAGTATTACAAAACCCAAAAAAGTCTCAAATCTGAAACACTTCTGAATAAGGAATATTTCAAACTGAATTATTTTTTGAAGTCTAAAAATGCAGCAGCTCTGCAAAAAGATGTTTAGTGGCCACCTGGTTTATTAGCCATTATCCAGATTGTCCCCAAAATGTGGCCCATGAAATAATCCAAATATGTGTTTCATAAATTTTAGTGTCATTTTAAGTCATATTTAAATAAATTCCAGCATTTTTATTGAAACCTCCCCCCAAAATGGTCATATTATCCATGCATATTTATTATTTTCAATACATGTAATAAAATATGATAAAATACTTATTAAAGTCTTAAATAGATTAGGATTCTCTTAATTCTTGAAAACAGACACCTCACATCTTTATGATTTCCAAACCATAAACAGCATTCTCAGTACACAGAGATTGGCAATAATAGCTGACTCTCAGTAGTACACGCAATATTTACTGTATTGAAAATAGGCTCACAAGGAAGGTTAAGCACTTGGCCTAGCAGTTAAGATGTCCTTTAGGACACTCATATCCCACACAGGAGTACTTAGGTTTGATGCTCAGCTCCACTCCTAAACCTAGCTTCCTGCTAATGTGCACCCTGGGAAGCAACAGGTGATGGTTCAAGAAGCTGGGTTTGTTCCACCTACATGGAAGACCAAGATAGAATTTCCATTTCCTGGATCTGGCCCCAGCCCTGTCCTGGCCATTGCAGAATATGAAATGAACCAGCAGGTGAATCTTCCTCTCTTTTGTTATCTCTCCCACTCAAATAAATAATTATTAAAAAGCTACACTTACGTTTATTTTATATTCATTCACAAAACATCCTCCTAGCTTCGAAAAACATACATTTGGAGAAAGAACAACCAGAAAGAATAATAACTGCTGATCATGAAATAGACCAAAGTGAACCTGTGAACCTCAAGTAAACACACTAATTCTAGCAATATTACATAATTAACTCAGTAAAAGGCATTTTATACATTGTAAGTACTTTGGAATCTTAGTTTTGAAAAAAAAGTGTACTATACAAGTAAGATACCAAATAGAATTAAATGCTTATAATACAAATAATGTCACTGTAGGCAAAAATGATTTATCATTAAGGAAATCAATTATAGCATGTTGGAATAAAATGAAATACCAAAGTAATATTAAAGATAGTGACCATAGGAATAGTTTAGTAGTTGGATATGCCATTGTATATTTCCCTAGTTGTCATTTCCAAGGTTTGCCTAGTAGTTAGTACCTTGAAATAGATGCTAAGAAGGTCCTACTGCTTATTCACAACTTCATATTCTCTATTTATTAATTTTTAAATAACTGGCTTTAATGATCATAAAATGATCATTACTGAAAAGAATACCTGTTCTTCTGTTCTTGCTTCAATAACTGAGCGGCTATTTTCCTCAAATCAGTTACTTCCTTTAAATCATCATCCTCTTCCTCTGCAAGTAACTGTTCTTTCTCAAGTCTGAAAGGTGACACAAACACGGTTACTCAGAATACAAGAAAGACTGTAACTGAAGCCAGTGTATAGAAATATGTGCCATTTTAACATCATGTGAAAATTAGAATCCTTTCATTCTTGTATCTAAAACACTGAAGTGACAAATAAGGAATAATTAAGGAAAACATATGTAGGCTCCAAGCATTAAGTATATTAAATAAAATGTTGCATTCTAGCCATATTTTCTTATTTTTTATCAGAATTTTATTCCATTTTTTAATGATTTACTTATTTTACTGAAAAATCAGATACGCAGAGAGGACAAGAGACAGAGAGGAAGATCTTCCATCTGCGGATGCACTCAGCAAGTGGCCACAATGGCTGGAGCTGCGTCGATCCGAAGCCAGGAGCTGAGCTTCCTCCAAGTCTCCCATGTGGGTGCAGGGTCCCAAGGCTTTGGGCCATCCTCTACTGCTTTCCCAAGCCACAAGCAGGGAGCTGGATGGGAAGAGTGTCTGCCTGGACACAAACCAGCACCCATATGGGATCCCAGTGTGTGCAAGGTGAGGACTTTATCCACTAGCCTACAGAACTGGACCCCAGAATTTTATTCTTTAAACATTTTAATGATTTTTAACATTTATACAAATCATATCATTGTTTCTTTAAAAAATGTATTTGTTTGAAAGCCAGAGTTACAGAGAGAGAGAGAGAGAGAGAGAGAGAGAGAGCAAGCTCTTAGATGGCTACAATGGCCAGAGTTAGTACAAGCTAAAACTATTATAAAGCTTCATGTGAGTCTAACAAATAGATACAGGGTTCCAAAAACTTGGGTATGTTCTGCTGCCTTTCCCAGGCCATTAAAATGGAGCTGGATTGTAACAGCTGGGACTTGAACCAGTGTCCATATGGGATGCCAGGGCTTCAGGCAAAGACTGAACCTGCTCTACTTTTGATTTAACTTTCTGCTAACATACTCTATGCAACATGGATAAAGGAAAATGTAAAACAGGCTTAAGTTCGCAAGAAATTGGTAATAAAAAGACATCTCTTTTTTCATTCAAAAAGAACAAGGAAGTTTTAACATATCAAATTATTTTTTAATCCCTAAGGCTTTTCATTAAAAAAAAAAACCATGAGTCTTTGTATAGTTATCATATATTACATACTCTTGTGACCCTGAAATTTATACAAATGTCCTCATTATGAATGAGAGAGAATAAGAATGAAATACAGCCATCACAACACAAAGTAATATAACCCCTTACATGATTTCAGAGATGTTCAATTAGTAACTGCTTAAAAAGTTTACAATGGAGGGAAGTGTTGTGGTATAGTAGATAAAGCCACTGCCATCAAAGCAGGCATCCCATAAGAGCCCTACTTCTGGTCCCACCTGTTCTACTTCCAATCCAGCTCTCTGCTAATGGTCTGGGAAAGTGAGAAGGAGCAGTGGAAGACGGCCCAAGTGTGTGGGCCTCTGTTGTCCATATGGGAGATGTGAATGAAACCGCTGGCTTTAGCCTGGCCCAATCCTGACCACTGCAGCCACCTGGGGTATGAAGCACTGGAGGAAGATCTGCTTCTCATTCGCTCTGTCTTCCTCTCTAACTCTCAAAATTAATTAATAAATCTTTAAATAAAAAGGCTCCAATAAACTCTTTTAGAGGACGCATAACACACAAAACTAGAGAAAATGCTTGGGGATAGGTAAAACTAGATTGATAGCCTAAGCAGTAGTGGGCACTAGCTAGGTGATTTTTAGCTGTCCAACTTGTCACTGAACTTCACCTTCCACAACTGCGAACATGAGTTAATAGCTACTTTGCAGAAATTTTGCGTTGAAATGGGACACATGAAAAAGCACACAGCAGTGTTCCGGTACATGGTGAGTATTCAGTGAATATTCCTTCCTTCTTGCTGGGTAACAGGAAACAGTGTAATGGAGAGACTCAAAAGATGTGGTAGGTCATATTCCATCATACCATTAAGATGAATAAAATGGAAACGAGTAAGAGTAAATTATTTTAATAAAATATACATGCAAATACCTTAAAATGGCCATAACCAGGCTAACAGATTGAAACTGTGTTAGACTCAATTGTCTGAAACTCCAGACCTCAGATTCCTGACAGTTAAAGGGTATCAATACTATCTATTTTAAAGGGTTGTTAAAAATTGCTCAAATGAAGTAAAATATGTGAAGTAATGGTCCTCCTCAGTAATAATAGGAGAGATGATTATTATGCTTCCATGGGAAAAGACAATGTATATCCTATACTCATCTCACATACATTCTACAATTTTGAATTTTATTAAGGAATATAAAAAGGTGAGTGACTCACAAACAGATAAATGTGCAAAAATTACATTTTTTTCAATTAGAAATATCTAAAAAATAGTTCAAATACTTGTTACCATTTCAATTTGAAAACTTGTAGGTATTTACCTTTTTTCATCTCCTAATTCGTCGTTTTTCTGAGATTTTTCAGAACATTTTTCTTTTCCCTTATGTAAAAGAAAGTTGTAATTTTAAGTTGCACAGTCAACTTTTATAACATCAAGCAAAATATGGTTTAAGTTCCAGTTACAAAGTTTCTTTACCGTAAGGAAAGAAGTAAATGCTCCGGTACATGCATCTCCTTGTTCAAGAACTGCAACATCTTCCATGCTGGGCTCAATAAAATCATATACCTCCTGGTCTAAGTATAGATTAACATTTATTAGAACATATAAATAGTAAAATGGTATACTCTGGCACTATATAGTGCTCAGAATAAAAGTATGTTTTCACCATGTAAATTTGACAACACACTGCCAAAGCTACAAAGCTCATTATAACAAGGACCATGCACATAAAATACAAATTACAGACACCATATAAATTACCTTTTGGACAATCGGGTTTACTTCCTACTGTGTGACTATCATTTCTTGATACCTGTTCTCTATTTGATTCTGAGACTTGAGAGTGAAGGCTGATTGTATCATCATCTGATGGCTGGAACAAATGAGCAAAAAGTACAAACCAGGCATTGTAAACATATGATAAAGATTATGGTGATTTAATTTCAGACATTAATTATAAATGATCTGTTTTACATTTCCTGTTTTCAAACCAAGTATTAATACTTACTGTTCTTTTTTTTTTAATTTAGATGCTGTTTTTTATTTGAAATAAAAAATTATAATGGTGATATTCCATCTAAAATAAATGTCAACTGTGTTCAATTATCTATCTCAAGCTATTATAAAATATATCAGTAATAGAAAATACTCACCTCTGTTGTAGATAATCGTTTCTCTCCATTATCACTTCCAATTCCAGAATCTGGACCATGATTTTTATTTGGATAAAAATCTTCCATACTATAGAAACAGAAATCCTAAGAGCAGTTAGGTTTATCTTCTTAAACAGATAATGCACACTTAATTTAGAATTTCTACAAATACAAAAGAAATCTAAGAACATCTGAGATCCTTAAGAATAAAAGAAAATATCAGCTAGAAAATAACCTTACTATAGACATATTTTCATCTTGGTTCTGTAAATTTTATCACCAGCCTTTGAAAAACATTTTAATGTAATTTATACAAATCCTCCTCATTAGCTCTTAAAAATATTCCTTATTTGTGTAAGGAGTCAGATGGGTTAATGAGTAGTTTTGGGAGTTAAAATGAAGACTACATAGGCCTGGTTTGGTGGTGTAGGGTGCTAATCTTTCACTTGTGGTACTGGCATCCAATATGGGTGTTGGTTCAAGTCCAGGCTGCTCCACTTCAGCAACAGCTCCCTGCTTATGACCTGGGAAAACAGTGGTACAAATCCTTGGGACCCTACACCCACGTGGGAAACCCAGAAGAAGCACCTGGCTCCCAGTTTCAGGATGGCATACTCTGGCAGTTGTGGCCAATGGAGGAGTGAACTAACAGACAAAAAAATTTTTTGTTGCTACAGTGGTGTGAAGGTAATATGCACTCGGTAGAACCATAGTTCCAATTTTGATGTTTGATCCTTTTGTTGCAGTTATATACAATTATATATTCTCTTTTGATATTAGGCAGTGACAGCAAGCCATGGCTCCCAATTCGCCATGTTATTATGAGGGTAAACAACTGATATTGTGCAGTGTGGTGTGATGCTAAGCTACTATGTTTAGTAGGTTCGCTATATTAAATGCATTTTCAAGTCTCTAGTAAGATTTTCCACTTGAAAGACAACAGAAGAGAAAGAGAGCACTAATGAGGGTGTAGAGGAAGAGAGAGAAAAAGAAGAGTGAGTGAGAGAGAGGAATCTTTTATCTGCTGATTCATTCCTCCTATGCCGGCAGTAACTGGAGCTGGGCCAAGGCAAGGGTAGGAGTTGGAAACTCAATCTGAGTCACCCGTGTGGGTGACAGAAACCCAACCACTTGTGCTACTGTCTGCTGTCTTCCAGAATATACATTAGGAGAAAGCTGGAATCAGAAGCAGAGCTAGGATTTCAATCCAGGCACCCCTTTATGGGATCCAGGCATCCCAAGAGTCTGTCCAAGTACCAAGCCATCTGCCGAGCCCAAATTAACACTCTTAAATTTATGATGAGTTCATCAGGATGTAAACTTGTTGTAAGTTGGGAAATATATACAAGTGTCCTTATGTACCATATGTTTGGTCAGTTACCATGACAGATGTAAAATGTTGATGCCATAAGTTTATGCTGCCTTGAAGCATAACCATCTTATTTTATGTAGGTATCCTATATGTTGTTCAGAGAACAAAAATTTTGCTTAACAATGTGGCTTTCACAACGCATGCTCATCATGAATCTGTGACTGTATAAATTTTCAAGCAGAGCAGAATGTTATTTAGGAACTTGGTAAGAGAATGCTATTTTTGAAAGCTGAAGCTTTAAGTCCAGTCTTGAAAGAAGAAAAGCCAGTTCTTCAATGAGGGAAAAAGTACAACAGGCCAAAGAAGTATGAATGTTGGTAAAGAGGAACAAAGAGAGAAGAGAGAGGGTAGGAATTCACACCTACTAAAGAAAATAAATTTGCAGATGATGGCTAATAGAGTGAACATGTGCAAGAGCCTGAGATCTGTGAAAATTTATGCACTGATTTAGTTTTGCTTTAAAAGAAACTTCCTGTGTTTTCAAGACATATTTTATGCATTTATGTGAGAAACAGACATGGAGAGCTTTCATCCACTGTTCCACTCCAGAAATGCCCACAATTGCAAGGGCTAGGCTTGGGGCCAAAATCAGGAGCCAGAAACTCAGTCCAAATTTTGCATGTGAGTAGCAGGAATCCAATTATTTGCATCACTGCTGCTACCTCCCAGAGGGTGCATTAAGCAGGAAGCTGGAATCAAATATCAAAGTCAGGTACTCTGATCAGGAATGCCACTAGTTCAGAGTCCTGCTTCCTAAACTTATCTCTGATTCCATTTTCCATACATTTTTAAAATGCTCTCACAAGCTTTCACTGTCTACTTATTATCTAATCTCAGTTATTCTGATGTAGCAACAGTAGACAAAGGGAATGTGTTGTGTGTCTACACACACGTGCACATGTATGTGTGCATGTGTACATTCTTTTTTTACTTTACTTACTGACTCCTGTTCCAATACACTGTGAGCTCCATGAGGACAGGACCAACATGTATGACTCTCAAGAAAATATACCGTAAATCTACTAGTAGATATTCAACTGGCATTTGAAAAATAAACAAATAGTGAATGCTAATAATAAATTCACACACAGATTAGAATATGTATTAATTTTAATCTCATAGAATAGGATTATTTGGTCTATTACTATTCATATTAAACAAAATGGTCTTCAGTAACTAAATCTAACATTTGACTATGCAAATTTCTTAGGCAAATAAAATATTTTAGAAAAATCCTACATAGGATTTCAAGGATTTATGCAGTTAACATCAATACTTACTGTACTGCCATTTCAAGCAATCTAAATCTTATCATGCATGCAATGAGACCATTAAATATTTTAGGCAGTAGCCTCAATCCCATACTAAGTTATTTTCCATATTGCTGATTTCAAGAGACCTACCATAACAATTTACATCTTGAAATAATGAGTTAAAAACAGAATACCAAATCTACCACTTCAAAATCTCATGAAGAAAACATTAAAATCATTAAGAATGCTACCTATCTTTGATCTAGAAATAAAGAATATGACAAAAAGAAAAAAGGTACCTCCCTCCAAAATGTCCTAACCTTTCACCAAACTCAAATTCTACTTGTTAATACAATTGTATTGTGACAGTGATTACAAAAGTAAATTAACAGTTGACAACCCTGAGAATTTAATGCTTCTACACTATAATGTCAAGCATTCACCTTTTCACTACTAAAAAACCTCAATAACTATTTCTGAGATCTCTAATTTATTCTAGTATTTCAGAAATTCATTCTATAATAGTGACAATTAGCTTCAGCTCATAGTTGATTTTTAAGTTGGATCAAAATAGCTCAGTGTTCTTGGTACACTCAAGATGTATAAACATCTTTCACCAAACAAGAAAACAATGGCAGGTTTAGCACAGATCTCAAGTCACTGCATAGAATACCTGCATCCCATATTGAAGTGCCTGGGATGGAGTCCCAGCTTTACTTCTGATTCCAGCTTCCTGCTAACACACAGACATAGCCTAGAGAAGCCCAGGTCCCATACAGGGGAGCGCAGATTGAGCTCCAAGCCCCTTTCTTCCAGGCTCAGCTTCAGCTGCTGTGCATATTTGCAAAACCAATCATGTAGATGAGCTCTCCATCCTCTTAAAATAAATAAGTGAATTCTGAAATTTTGTTATAGAAAAGGTAAAGAAAACTATCACATAATGAGACTGCAGGAATATTACATTACCTGTCTGTGAGAGGCTGGGAGGGCATTCTTTTACTTAAAGATGGAAGATCCAGAGAATCTGGCTTCTTATCCATTCTGCAACATGCTTGAATATTTAAGTACTTAAATATGTGTACTTTACCCTTTAAGCATATCTGTCAAGAATGAAGAAATTTAATCATGATTCCAAACACAAATGACATCTATTCATTTGTTTACACACTTTCACAACCTCAAATTATGTTTAGATATCAAAACCATGAATGCTGTTTTTCAATAATTTGTATTTCTGACACTATGTGGAACAATCTAACACTGACATTAACTAAAATTCTGCTGTCGTCTCTGTTTTTGTTAGAAAATATATGTTAATTTTTCTACACTGCATCACAATTTTCCTATTAAAAGCAAAATATATCAATCATCAAACAATACAAAATTTCTAACTCATAAAAGCTGCCTTTATCACAGAAACAGAAAAGAAATACAAATGTAGTTTTTGGAATGGTAAGAACTAAACTAATTCATGTAATTCTTTAATCTCATCAGTACTGAGATAGCTGACGTAAACACTGAAAGAAGTCTAATATAAAATTTACCTTAACAAAGGTTGATCACATATGAATGACATCAAATAAATATTTCTTAAAAATTCTAATGAAAGTGCTTTATTTCTTGGCTCATATAAATTTACTACACATGCAAAAATAATCAAGGAAACAGTAACAGCTATATTAAAAAGCAATTATTACTTCATTTTAAAAGAAAGTCTCTTAGATACTTGAATATTAAGTTCGACTCCACCAGTAAAATATTTCATTTAAAACTGAAAGCTTTTAAGCTATTAACATATAAATTACCAATAGCATATCAATTACTAAATAAAAATCTGATTACAAGACTAAATGTTAATGGATTATTTTCTTTTATAAACTTTAACTTTTTATCAGAGAACTTCATACACATAACTTTAAAAGTCATTACAAAACTGATAAGAAAACAATCTCCAATTTTAATCTTTTCAATCATCAAGACCCAATCCCTACTTTGAGTTTTTAGTTGGTTTTATGCTATTCACTCTCAAATTATTAAAAACATATTTCCACTAATTTTAAAAAATGTTTTCAATTACTGATTTTACTTACCAATATCTCAACAAGAAAGAAGAGGACAGATCTCTTGCATCACCTCTACCACCGTCCCCACCACTACTATCTTGTCCTGGAACCCTGATCAACTTATGTTAATATCCTTTCCCTCTCTTCAGAAGCATAACATGAAATTAAAAAAACTTCTGATGTCACACTGCCAGAACTTGAATCCTGCTCTACTACATGCTAGTTAAATGTGGCTGCAAAAGTCATTTAATCTCTCTGGATGTTTTCTTACATGTAAAGTGAGGTTAGTAACAGAACTGTTTTATAAGGGTGATCTAAAAATTATATTATTTAATACACATAAAGCATTTTTAAACAGTGCCTGGAGGAAGGGGCTATCTAAATATGTCCTACTATTACAAAAAAATGTTGCAATTTATCAGCAAATAAAAAGCCAAATTTAGTTACAATGAACAAGAAAATACTCACAGAAGAATCCCACAAAGGGATAAGATTTCATTCATTTTCTTTCCTAAAATGAATAATGGCTACTTGTTTTCCTTTATCTATTATTCATTAACTCTGACAGAACTACAAACATCTCTCCATGTGCACAAACACATAAATTCATCTATCATTTACTTTCTTCTTCTTTTTCATTTCTTCTCTTTTCTTTCTTTTTTTAACAACTTCAAACTGACTAGCTGCATTCTAAATATTCAACCTTAAATATTAAAAATTCCCCATTTTTCCTTTATTTCCTTACTATGGTACAGTATATTCTCAGCGAGCTTTCTAATAAAGGGCTCATGTGTGTTAAAACTTCCATAATATTGCACATTTGAAATCTTTTTCTACCTCATATTTGAGTGAGGAAAGTAGAAAATATTCTCTCATTCTTTAAAGACATTATTCTAACAGCTGTTAACTTTCAGGGCTGTTGCTAAAAATCATTCTGGCTGCCACTCAAATGAACCTACTCGATTTCCCACTCCCTTCTTAATTTTTTCCCAGCTTCACTGTGACACCATTGGCCAACAGAGATTGCATATATCTGGGGTATATAAAGTGATATAAGTATACATAGTGAAGCAATCAAACTCATTAACACATTCATCACTTCAGTTATTTTCTGTGTGTACCGTAAGAATATATTACTCCCTTGGTAAATTTCAAGTATATAACACAATATTACTCATTACAATCACCATAATGTAATCAGAACTCTAGTACTTATTCATCTTATAATGGATGCATGGTACCATTTGGCCAGTTTTTCCCTTTTTCTCCTACTGCCCAAGCTCTTAGAAAACACCATTCTACTTTGTAACCATTAATTCACCATTTTTTAAGACTCCAAATATAAGTGAGATCACTGCAGTACTGTATACACAGTAACCTTTCACATTTTCTTTATCTATTCATCTTTTGACAGACCCGCAGGTTATTTTCACGTATTTACCATTGTGAATAATGCTACAATTAACATAGGAATGTAAATATCTCTTTGAAACACTGGTTCTTTTTGGTATATTGAAATTTATAGTAAGAACTGTGTATCTGCTCTTGTCTCATTGCCTGGGACACAGCTTCTAAAACGCCTGAAACCCTTTTAAATGGTAAGTATTCTTCTTAATACTAAGGAGATGGCTAGAGAACAGGGGTTCCTGGATAGTCTCAGGATGAGGGACTTGTTAGCAAGGATAATTAACAAAGGAAGGAGAGGATTCAAACTCCAGGAAGGGGAAAAAAATAGTTAAGATGGAATTAATCACAAATGGGCAATGACGTAACAATTCATTCCTATAAAATCTATTTTTACAAAAGAATCCCAAAGGACAAAGTTTGGAGAACTTCCAGATTGCTGAAGACAATGGGATTCAGCAAACAGTGGTGACATGCAGAGGACAGCAAGCCCAGGAATAGCAGGAAAGCTTTACACTCCCCTTGTATACATGGCCCTATGTATCTCTTCCATCTGGCTATTCATTTGTATTCTTCAAAACATCCTTTGCAATAAATGGGCAATTGTAAGTGAAAACTTTGAGTTCTAGCTACTCTGGCAAAGTAATTGAACCCAAGGAGAAGACTGTAGAAAGCTGGATTTGTAGCTAGTCATGGGCAGTCTTGTGGGACTGAGCCCTTAATCTGTGGAATTTGAAATGAATCTGTGCCAGAAGTGAATTAAATTAAATCAAACAACATCCACTCAGCATCTACTCAAGAATCACTTAGCACTTTGCGGAAATCCACACATGGTGATAACAGGATGTGTTTTGCACTGAAAGTTAGAATAGCATAAATACTTTGGTTTGATCTTTATTAGATATACATGCCCATAAGTGGGACTGCTGTATGATATGGAAATTAAATATTTTGTAGAAGTTGCATACTTTTTCCAACAATGGCTGAACCATTTCTCATTCCTATTAATACTGACACATGCTCCCTTTTCTCCACATCCTGGCCATAATTTATTATCTTTCAAGATAGTACGCATCCGAATGTAAGGAATTAGATGTGCTAATAGACAGACAGGTTCAGGTCCCTAGTGGAATGAGAAAATAGGGAGTTCCTTTGAAAGTGTACAAGATGTTTCCAAGCTGCCTTTGGAATATAAAATACCAATCCCATTCCTCTGGGTTTTCAGTCTCGAGTAATTAGTGAGGTTTAAGAGGGGGCAATATGTTAATTTTTGCCCCAAAGCCCCAACTGGGCAGATCAAAACAACGATCCTCACTCCTCTGGGTTTCCAAAATATCAGGAAAGCAATAATTCCACCCTTCTGATTTTTCAGCTTATTGTTAATAGACAGAAGTTACCTATGCCACCACTCAGATAGGTTTGTTTGTTCTGATTGTTGCTATTTTATCACAGGCTGGCTAATCAGGACTGCAATTCCTGCCTTTTTATGAGTTTTGTCCCCACCATCTGAATGTTAGTAGCTATTTTTTTTTTTCCAAAAGAAATTGTGCTTAAAAGATTCTACTTAGACCAATTTTTCCAGTCACTCTGTCTTAAGACGCAACCCATTTGACTGTCATGCCAGGCAGTTTCCGACTTAGTAAATCTTGTTTTGGGGAACTACATTGCCTGAATGGAAATTCATTCATGTGAGAGAAAAACTCAGGCAGTCTTCCTCCTTTCTGCCTCATTTCCCTGGTAACACTAACACATGTCAGTAATATCTTACTGTAGCTTCCATTTGCATTTCCTGATAATTAACATTGGTGAATATCTTTTCATCTAGCTGTTGGCCATTTGAATGCCTTCTTTCAAATAACATCTATTCGTCGCCTTTCCAGGATTATTTGTGGGTTTTTTTTTTTTGCAACAGATTTCATTACATATTTGAGACATATAAACCTCAAATATTTGAAATAAAATTAAGATAAGCTTGTCTTAGTTTAAACAATTTTTAAATCTTTACATATGGTGGGACATTTAAAAAGTTGTGTAAAATCCTAGTATAAAATATCTATGAACGGATATTATGGATAGTCTTGGGGCAGTTTAAGTTGTCACTTGAGACATTAAAGTCCCATATCTAAGTGTCACCTGGCTACTGCTCACCTTCTAATACAGGTTTCCACTAATGCACTTGGGAAGATACCAGAAAATGGCCCAAGTACCTGGCACTTTCATGGGAAACCCTGATGGAGTTTCTGACTTTTGGCTTTAGCTTGGCCCAGACGTGACAGCTGGGATCATTTGGGGAGTAGAAAAAAAAAAAGCAGTCAAAAGATCTATTTCTCTATGTCTCTCCTTCTCTCTCTAGCCTTCTGTCATTCTGTCCTTCAAATAAGTAGAATAAAGCTTTTCAAAACAGCAACAAAATTGCTCTGATTTCATTTTCTATGAACTTTTTACAATACACTCATATTTCTATAGTGGCATGCAAAAACTTTTGTGTTCTGCTATCATTTCAATGGAACTGTATTTTTCTCTCTTTCACATTAGGCATTCTTCCTACATTGCTTTTTGATCCTGAATATTTGTTTTAAAGAGCGAGAGTAAGAAAACGCTAACTGGAAGTTCTGCACATATGAGGGAAGCTTACTGATGGTGACATTCCATTTGCCTAGTGGCAGGGAGCGAGCATTTCATTCATTAAGTGACCCTGAAAGATCAGCGCGCAGATAGATATTTTCTTCTGATTCAATCTGTTTATTAAGGAAGAACTCTGTTAAACACAGCTAACACAGGCTGCAAATATTTGGAAAACCAAACAGATGTTTGCTGATGGGTCTTCCCATTCAGTGTATGCACATTTATCAATAAGTATTGTGCGAAACCTGCCTCTGCCCATAGCTATACTGGAAGCTATGGACTACTTCAATCTTTCTGTAGCTACCATGTGCAATATGGTAGTCACCAGACATAGGTGACTATTTTCATTTAAATTAACTATATCAAAATAAAATTTAAAAATCATTGTTTTACCACACTATACACTTTCAAGTACTCAATAACTACTATGATTATGACACACAACAGGCAGTCCAAATATAGAGCATTTCCAACACCACAGAAGGGCCTAACAGATTCTCTAAGGAGCAACAAACTTCATTCTTCTGAAAAGTATGGTTAGTCATTTGGACACTGAGGACAGAATGCAAGAAATCAGCATATTGCCTAGAGTAAATTCCAGACTTCCGGTAAGGAAAATGAAGAGTACTGGAGTGGCTAAGGAGCTAAGGACAGGAAGAAGTGTAAATCTTAGCCCTCCAGCAATATTGGCTTTTACAAGGAAATTACTAGAGCCTAGCTCCAAAGCTGTATAGGTTAATCCTCTACCTCCAAGCGCCAGCATCCTCTATGGGTGCCAGTTGATGTCCCAGTTACTGAACTTCCCATATAGCTTTCTGCTTACGATTAGGGAAAACAGCAAATGATATCCAAGTCTTTGGGACTCTGAATCCGCTCGGGAGATCCAAAAGAAGCTCCTGGCTCCTCGCTCCTGGCTCCAAGCATCCAATCTGCCCAGCTGGGACCACAGCAGCCATTTTGGAAGTGAGCCAACAGACGGAGGATCTTTTTCTTTGTCTTTCCTTCTCTCTGTAAATTTGCTACTCCAATAAAAATCAATAAGCCTTTTTAAAAATTACTAAACATAACTCTGCTGGTCTGATTGATTTCAAGTTCTTCCATTCAGAATTTGCCTCACCAGCATTTCTCAGTTTCCCAAAAGCTCTCAGTCAAGGAGGCAAATACGACTTATTTTTCCAGCCTCATATTGACCAGTAACAATTCCAGCCTCCTCTCAGAAGACCAACATCACCAGGGTGATGGGGAGCAATAGTCAGCACATGAAACTCATTCTGCAATAGTGATGTCCAATATGTCAACCACTAGTTATATATAGCATTTTATATTAAAACAAAATTAAAAATTTGGTTCAGCCCAGATTATAAAACAATTTTAACACATGGAAATGTCTACTGGGAAAGCACTGCTTTTGATTTTGAGAGAGGAGTTAGACTGGGTAGTAGGCAGTTAGGGTATTCTGGGTCCCCGAGTCATCGTTTTTTCTCAAATATAAAGGTATTTTCCCCACCCTGTCTTGGATTCACCAGAGCATGTTTCTCCGGAGATAAGTGCATATTTTAACATATCCAGAACACACTTCCCCAAGAGACAAGACAACATACCAATTCCCCACCTGAGGCTACAGCCCCATTCTGTCTCAGGCCATTTCCAAGCGGGAGGGCCTCAGGACTGAGGAAGTTGGCCAGTGACACCTTTGGGCCCTTTTGTCCCAAGGCCAGGTACCATGGAAATCAGGAATTCTCCTTTGTTTACGGAGAAACACCTTTTGAAGTGAACCTTTAAAAGGTGCTTTCCCCACCATTAATACAGGTCTTTCCACTTTCCCTCCTGCCACTATGGCAGAGGTCTAGGGTCTTTCTTTTCCACCTCCTGTTACTATGGCAGGAGGTACGGATCTTTTCTATCTCAAAGTCCCCTCCCATCGCTAGGATGGGAGCTCCTTTTCTCAGCTTTTCTAATAAATCTTGCTTTAAAACTAAACTGTGTCCACATGAAAAATCTTTTTTCCTGCGAGACAAGAATTGAGGTTGCTGCCATATTCGGGGTCCAAAACCCTACAACAATTTGGGGGAGGTTTGCTTGTTTATTTTAAACTTAGTCATTTTTGTTGGAAAGGCAGATTTACAGAGAGAAGGGAGAGGCAGAGAGGAAGATCTTCCACCTGCTGGTTCACTCCCCAAGTGGCCATAATGACCAGAGTTGAGCCCATCTGAATCTAGGAACCAGGAGCCTCTTCCAGGTCTCCCACATGGGTATAGGGTCCCGAAGATTTGGACCAACTTCCACTGCTTTCCCAGGCCATAAACAGGGAGCTGTGTGGGAAGTGGAGAAGCTGGAACATGAATCAGCGCCCATATGGGACCCTGGCACTTGAAGGCTCAATTAGTCATTGAGCCATTGCACTGAACCCTAATGTCATGTTATTTCCTTCACCCCAATATGGGGAGTGATTTATTTCCTCCAATACCAAACCATTCTCAGACTGACAAAGTAAATCAACTTGCTTCTCCACAGCAGACACAAGTTTTACCTTTCCCCATTCTGTTATCGAGTTACTAAGGCTCCAGCCAGCCTTTATTTGAACTAAAAAGGGTACCCTTTGGGATGAATGGGATATACTTATGTAGAAAGAAAGAAGCAACCTGATGTATGCAAACCCTGTACTAAAATACAGAGTCTGGATGTAGAGTGCAGACTGCTGTTACGCTGCCACGTGTATCTCAGCCAGACACTCTTCTGCAATATAAGAGGTACTACTACCAACCATGTTTCATTTCTTATCATACTAATAACTTTTCCCCCACTGTCCCTTGTCTTACATATGATTTGTTCCGTATGGTTACATATTACTTTATCCCCTAACTATTATTTCAGTAGATTCCACATGAATTTTAATCCTCACTAAACAAAAAGTCAGGATAAATATTTCCCCCTTGCATCTTTGTTCCACCTCACAGTGCCAAGCAAATTGAAGTAGATTAAAACCTGAGTAGAAGCTAGCTATAAAAACTTCAAGGAAACTATCTTTTTAAAATTACATTAGCAACCATTATTACCAGCTCACAAGCAAGAAATGGAACCTCTATACAATGTCTTGAATGCAACTGCTAGATAACCTCAGGTCCTAGTCTCCCAGACTTCCTAGCCTCCCTCTCCTAGCCCAAAGTTGCAAACCAACTTCTTACTAAAATTACCTCATTGGGTGGGGTACAAGCAGTCCTGAGGTCCTGAACCAGTTCTGATAATCAACCTCGGGAGGTTTCCTATTTCCTCAATAGATAACATTTGGACATTCAGTCTTCTCTTGTAAAACAAGGGAAAAGTAACAGCTACCCACCAGTAGGTCCCAAATGCACTTTGTCATCATTAAAATTGCATAGGAAAACATGGCATTGGTGATGAATCAAAGGAAGGTCACAAGCACTAAAGATCAATTGGGAACTTGGACCAGAGCAAACATATCCCTCTCAATGCTAACTTCAGTTGATAAGAATTCCTAATTCCTCAGGACGCCGATTCATAAAGAACAGTGGTCCTTGCTTCTATCAGGCATTAACAATCAGTTGATATCTATTTTCCAAATGTTATTCAACAGCCTGATCCATATTTCCTATCAGAGAAAAGTCACTCCTCTGAAAAATTCCTTTACTGATTACTAAACTGATTCCTAATTTTGGTGCATTTTTTTTTTGTTTATCAACAATAAATCAAGTTTTGTCAAACTCTGCCAAATAAATAATTAAGAAATACACTACGATAGCTTTATTGATTTGTAATCATTTTGAAATTTACTGTATATCAGTGAAATTGACATCTTTAAATATGATTATTGTTTATAACCCTTGCCTTCATGCTTGCTGAATTACAGGCACTTTACTTTCTCTGTGTTAAACTCTTCATTTAGTGTACCAATAAACCTCTGACAATCATGTATATTCAGAATATGTTATCTGAAACACTCAGAAGAAGAGTGAGGAACAGACGTTTCGGTATGAGAATTCTGCCTGTGAGCTATATGGAATCTTGTGACAGCCCAGACAATAAAAGGGTAGTAAGGGTAAATCTTCTGAAACACTTTCAGCAAATGTCCATAACCTCAAGTTCTTGGAAATTCCTGAAACAGGAGTGAAAGTACTTATGGCAAGATAATATCTCAATCCAGAATATGATCTTGCTTTTCTATTAAAATTCTCACAATAAGCTGATGGCCCAAAATTTGTTTCTGTACATGCAATTGGAATGACTTGTTTGCCTGGTTCACTTGTTCGCTACTAGACAGTATGCAGCTCTTACTGACTGGACAGTTTAAAGTACACAATGCTACAACTGATTGGATATCTCTATTTCATGCCACTACAGTTGATCGAATAATTTGCATTTTGCAGTGATGTAAGCCTGGCTGATTGATTGAATAACATGTATAATGCATCAGCACTCTCTTAGCTGATTGGATGATTGCTGTTTAAAAAAAAAAAACACCTAAACATGGCTAATCAGGGCTGCTACCCTCTTCCACTGGCCACGGTACAATACAATCCACCAGTCAGTGCTGGGATTGGCAAGTCAGTCTGCCTCTGACTCATTTCTGGGATAGATTTGATCAACTTGCAATAATCTCTTTTGTATTGGTCTCACGTTAGCATGAGAATAGTATTATGACTATCATGTAATAACAAGCTCATTTTAAAATATCAATCACAATTATGAACAAAAGTAAAAAGAAATGAATATCATATTTTATTACAAACCTGTGCTGGTGGTATTTGCAGTGGATTGTTATCCAAAATCATCACTTGTAAATGATGCAGCTTCCGGTAACAAACTGGAATTTCAGTCACCTTATTACAAGAGAAATCCAACTTGACTAAAGGAAGATCACCTAATTCTGTTCAGAAACAGAAAATAATTAAATTAAATTATACATAGTTACTCTCTTATTCATTTGGTTAAAAAGAGTGATGTCTTACCATCAGGCAGTGCATGAAGATTATTTCTTCTTATATTTAGCTCTCTAAGTGAATGCAATTTTCCCACTTGTTGGGGAAGGACCTGAATTTCATTACAGCTAATATCCTAAAGAAAACAAGAAACTGTAATTATAACAAACTAACTGTACATGGTAGTTACCTCCCACGTCATTACTCTAAACACAGATTACCTGACAGATTTCTGTTTGTATTGCATTATAAAGCCAAACTAGTTCAATTAACAGAAAATTTTGCATAAAAATTTGTGGTCCTAGCTTAGTAACCACATAAGGTAACAAGTGAAAAATCTCAACCAAATACCAACTGTCACCAACTAAAACCAAAAGTAAAGATGATCCAAGGTAGTCTTCATACAAAGGTAAAACAAAAGACTAGCAATTATTATTATATGGTGATTATCTGCCAATCATAGTCACTTTGAAATATTTGGTTGGACACAAATTTAGAAAATCAAGGATTTAAAGATGTGAGTTGCAATACCAAAGACTATTCTCAGGATCAATTTAAGGCAATGTATTTCTTAAATGGAATAAAAAAAAAAGATAAGATTTACAAGATCAAACATTTATACCTCAAAATACAGCCCAAATTCATCCTAATGGATTTGCCTCAGGCATCCCATAGGGCTAAAATGCAAACCTGGGTGCAAGTGTAAAGCTTCCTCTTCAGATACCAGCATCCCATATCAGAGTACTTGACTGGAGTTTCAGCTACTCTACACTTCCTTCTAGAATGCCTGGAGGCAAAGTTAGATGGCCCAATTGGTTGGGTTCCTGCTACCAATAGGGGAGATCTACACGGAGTTTCAAGTGCCTGGATTGGCTAGGCTGACCCTGGCCACTTCAGCCATATGGGGAAAGAACCAGCAGATGGGAACTATCTCTCCTTCTAACTTTGCCTCTCAAACTAATAAATAAGTCTTTACAAATATAAACTCTAACTGAAAACTATACAATGACCAAGTTTCTATTTTTTTTAAAACCGGGTTCTTCCTTCCCTCACTTCTTTCTTAGAATCAAATCAGAAAAAAAAAATGGGACTAGAAATCTACAACATAATTTCAGATAGTAGTTATTTTGTTGTGGGGTAGACAGCTAGTTCAGGGTCATGAGCTTGTCAGTTACTTCCCACCACCACTTAGGTGGTCACTTTTGCCCAGCTATGACATTCACCTATCATCACTTGAAACCTGAGAGGGGGCAGAATTGCACTGTTGCATAAGCACGCCCCTCACGAGCTCCCATAAAGGCCCATGGTAGGGAGGGGCTCTCTCTTGGTCCTATGCGTCCACCACTGTGGCACTTCAATTCAGCCTCCTCAGTACCTGCTTGCTCTCTGGCTTCCCACACACAGACTCCAAGGAAAGGTATACCCTGAGCATGACCCCCGTATGTCTGTATTCCTCACCCTCTGCTTACTGTTTGGGCAGGACATTGAAGATGTTAATACTAACGTGAGGAGTCAGAAGGGATAATAGGCAGATAGGGTCTCTGGTCTCCGGTAAAGTCATTCTTTAAAATGGAAAATTGTGTTTCTCCCCATTTCTTACCCTTCCTGGGGCAGATTCTCCCCTGGGAGAATCTAATTTCTAATTTGTGGACTTTCAAGAGTTCCAGAGAAGTGAAGTCTAGCAGTAATGGAATGTGGACAGAAAAGTCAGAAAAAGGTCTATAGCTTTGTGAGTAGTCCAGGTTGTTTGCTGCATATCTCTTAAGATAACAACATTTCTGGGAAAGCTGAGACATAGGTCTTCAGGGTAATGACCATTTGTTCCTCTCAGGGTTTCAATTCAGACTGGACTGCCATATGGACTTGTCACTTGCTAATTTCTAATGACTCCTTTCATCACCAAGCTTGGTTAATAAAGACTCCTTAATTCACCCTAAACTTGTCTGATGTGATCTCTAGCACCCTGCAAAAATTTCAGACACACAGAAAATGAGATTTATATTTACTGCAATTGTTCCAGATCTAGCTTTTATTGAAAAATTTATTTGCTTGGAAGAAGGGGAGTGAAACATGCCTTCAGTTTTACTGCAAATAATAATTTTTCTAAAAGACAGGAGAATATATTTAGAATATTAAAGCCATGTAGGAAGAATCTAAGTCACGGATAATTGGGAAGACATATTCTACATATATTTTTCAAACAATATGAATGGTATCTTGACTGAAGAACAATTATTGAATACCAAGAATTTGCTGGGTACCAGTCTAGGGGCTGGGACAGTACTGAAAGCTCCTCATGGAGTTTATAATCTAGCAAAGGGAGTAGGTTAGGAATGATGCCAGAAAAGGGTCAGTGCTATCATTAAAAAGAACAAAGTAAAGGAAAATGGCTATATTGTAATAGGAGCCAAATTCTTTGGCCATTAGAATTCCAAATGTAGTCTCCTCCAAGAACTTGTCACATTGCATTTCAATAGGGGAGCCTAACTTTTGCATTTGGCTTGCCAGTCATGAGACTTTCCCAAAGTGGAGAGCAAATGTAGTTTCCTCAGAGACTTTTACACTGTATAATAGATAAGTTCAGGTTCTGAATTGTCATGTCAATTGCCCAGGGGGCAAAATCTACCAAAGTTGCAAAAGAATATTCTAGCTTAGGCTCACTTCCTCACTTTGAATAACTCCCCAACCCTCAGGACATCCAAGTCCTAAAATTAGAAAAGGCCCACCAAGCTGAATATTGGGCCACTACCATGGGGTTTCTACTGTCCAAATATCAGTATCTGCTACCTCTTCCAATTCATCTCGAATAAATTCAATTTGGATGTTAGTTATTCCCCCTTTCTTCTTCAGTGATTTTTCCTAACAAAAATGATATCGGCAATTTAGATCAGCTCATGGGGGGAGAAGATGAGGCTTGAACACTATTCCTTGAGTTGAGACAGTGAGCTATTCCAGTACATAAGAAAAGGATTATGTTGGACAGAAGGAACAATCCCTTCCCAGAGCATGACTGGAATACACAAAGAACAACAAGGCAACAGGTATAACTGGAGGCAAGCAGGCAAGGGAGAAGGGAGGAAGGGTATGATTTTTGCTTGTGGGAAGAAACTGGACACTTCCAAATGGAGGAATAGCATGATTTGACTTATGTTTTGACAGTTTAGCTACCATGCTCACAAAAGAGTATTATTCAAGTAGCAGGTAGCAAAATTTGGGGGGAAATGCCCTTTAAAGTAAATACCATTGCTTTTCCCCAAAGTTGTCTGATATTGGAAGATTTTCATATAGAAAACCCACAGAAATCTGATAGATGACATTGTCTAGAAGAAAGGAACCCAAACACAGGAAACTGATCTGCTCTGTTGAGTATTGTAACAAAATAATGTATTACAGACAGAATATGCCTCTAATGATTAGAATTTTACTATTTCAAAAATCTGGAATTCTAAAATATAAGGCAAAATCCAGGAAAGCTTCCTTATGTTATAATTGAAAATAATGGCGGCTCCTTAATGGACGAAAGGTATTCATTCCTAAACTCTCCTTTCACATGGTATATTGACATTAATTCCCCATTATACAAGTATGAATAAACTGATCACAAAAACCATTGACCTTCTAAATATAATAAACTCATACTGAAGAACACCTTAAACATACTGGGAATGAAGGGCCAGCATTTAGCATGGTGGCTAGAACACTGTTTACATCCAATATAGAAGTGTTCATTCAAATCTCAGCATCTGGGGTTCCTAGTCAGCTTCCTGCTAATGCACAACCTGGTAGCAGATGATGGCTCAAGCGCTAGGGTCACTGCCACCCATGGTGAAGACCCAGAAGGAATTCCCAGCTCCTGTCTTTACCCTAACCAAGCTCTGGTTGTTGCACACATTTAGTGAATGAACCAATAAATGAAAGATATGAAAGTAGTTTTTTAAAAGATAAGATCTTTTAAAATACTTAATTATTAGGAATTACTCAAAGAACAGAAAATAAAAATAGAATGTTATATTATGTGAAAGTAGCTATTATAATATGAAAAGAACTTAATGTTTTAATGACCTAATTACATATTTCTCAGCATGCAATTTTGTCCATCAAATACCTAAATTATATGTTCAGGACAATTACTTTATTCCATTTTTTTCTAAATTTAAGGTTGAAATATTATAAATTGCAACTAACATTTTAAAAATTTATTTTCATTACATTTGAAAAAGAGAAAGAAAGACACATTCCACACACTGGCTCATTCCCCTAATTCCCACAACCACTTCAGATGGACAAGGACGGAACCAGGGGCCTAGAACTCTATCTGAAATCTCATGTGTGGGTGACATGTAACCAGGTATTTGCAATCCAGTGTGCACATTAGCAGGAAGGAAAACAGCTGCACATAGAATCCAGGCACTCCAATGAAGGATGCAGGTATCCCAAGAAGCACCTTAAGGGCTACACCAAATTCCTGTCCCCAAATCATCCTATATTTCTATAGTCAATAACATATAATAATTCTTTTTCCATTTATCTTGGTCTCAATGTGTTATACAATCACATGAGCATACAACAAATGAAGAATTATTTTCCTAATTCTATTAAATTTAGTGTGCCTATCCTTTTTTCCCTAGCACCCTAGAGTAGATCTCAAAAAGTTTTCTAAAAATTATCTTTCCCCTAAAACTTTACTGTCTACAAAAATGGATAAATGATTACTCATTTGAAAAGCATTTCTTAGAATTTGTAAGCAAATCTTCTGACCCCAGTAGGACTAAAGAACAACCAGTATTTCATGTGGCTGGGAAACAAACTCAAAGATACATAATGTTATCTCGAATTTCACTACAGTGAACTTAGACATATTCCAAGTTATTTGTTCTTTTGAAAATCACAATGAAACTCCATAAAGAAATGTATACTCTTTTAAAATGTATATAGTATGTATTTTATACACAATTAATGTAACTATTTTACTCACCAATTCCATTAAATCTTTTAATTTTCCAATTTCTTCAGGAATGGATACCAGTTTATTATTGCTTACAACCAAAACTTTAAGGGGAAGATCAAATAGGTATTTTGGCAATGTTGATAAAAGATTTCGACTGAAAAGAATAAGAAAGTCTCATTATTATATACATTCTGAAAACCTAACGTTATATTGCCAAAAAAAAAAAAACTACCTAGTAAAAACTATCATTTAATAAGTATTTAGTTAGTATCAAGCACAGTGTTAAATTCCATGTACTGTTTAACTTGACCTTCACATTAACCGCACAGGATAGGTAATATATCCATTATACTCAAAAGAAAATAAAGGTTAGAACTAGTTAACTGAATTGCCAAAGCTCAGTAGAGACTCAAATGCAAGTCTGACCGCAAAGACAATGCTGTGCCTATGACACTGTCCTATACACCGCCAGTTCTCAAACTCCAAAAATTAAATCTCTGAGCTAAAGAATGCCAGAAGTTTACTTCTTGATATAAATTCAATGCAGATGACAACTCCATGCAACAAACCAGGGAAAGCCATTCATTATGTCTAAATTTATAAAAGAATAGATAAGACTGCATTATTAAAAACGTGCTATAACTGTAATCCATTTCCTTTCATTATGGTTTACTAACATCTTGAACTTGATACAGCATTCATCATTATGAATACTTTTCAATATTACAACATTTATTAATTGCTGAACGTGTATCACATTATGTTCAGAGCACCTCACATGAAGTAACTTAACTAACCCTCAACACAACCTATTTTGGGAAATGAATATAATGATTCCCCATTTTACAAATGAAGAAAAAGTCACAGAGATTTAAATAGACTGCTTAAAACATCTGGAAAGTGGCAGAGGCAGGATCCAACTCCAGGCAGTCTCACCCTCAAAATATTATGGTGGTCAAATTCATGTGCCAAAGCACACTGACCACTCCAAATCACCCTTTATTAAGATATATATTAACAGACAATGATAAGCAATAACTTAGTATTTTCTTCTGCTTCAAAGTAATATTTACAGACCTTATACCTAGGATTTTGTGTGACAGTTACAGTGCCAAAAACTCAGTGTAGTTTAAAGGAGGACTTCCAGACCCTTTATTCTATCTGATCCCTGGCAGAGAACATCTGGAAACATTAGACTGGCTTTAGTCACATGGCACAAATCACCTAAACAACAACAAGAAGTCAGTGTCGCTCAAGCAGAAATCCTAACTGAGCTGCTGGAAAGTCACAATCTTTCTTGAAGCCTGTTCATTGAGTTATTAGCACACTCTTCTTTCTCCAGAATCAGGTTTCTTCATATATTACTACTAAATCAATAATCATCACATTTTTTCACTATGCATTTGACAGAAAGCAACAGAAGTTAGTCATTTTTGAAAATGCTATCCCAATGTAGCTTTTTCAAATAGTTTTGAATTGCAACCAACTTACGGAGATTAAAGTGGTACAGAATCACAAACGTTTTAGTACAACTATTGTAAGACATCATCACACATATAGAGAAATGTGGATGCTTATGGTAAATCACCTTTAGCCAAAAAAGAACAAAATGAAACAAAAAATGAAAACAAATCTTAGAAACACCTCACTACCACCAAAACTTTCCAAATTCAAGCTAAGTAAATGCTAGAGAAAGCCACAATCCGGTGCCAGCATTGTGCTGCAGCAAGTTTAAGTGGTGCTGGAGCAAGTCCTTCTGTTCCACTTCTGATCCAGCTCCCTGCTAATACACCTAGAAAAGTAGCACAATTCCTGGCTCCTGGTTTACACCTGGTCCAGCCCTGGATGCTAAGGACATTTGGGGGATTAAATAACATATAGACTCTCCCACTTTCTCTCTCTCTCTTTAATTCTGCCTTTCAAATAAATATTTTTTATTTTATTGGAAAGTTAGATTTACAGAGAGAAGGAGAGACAGAGAGAAAGATCTTCTAATGGTTGGTTCACTGCCCAAGTGGCATGATCTGAAGCCAGGAGCCAGGAGCTTCTTCCAGGTCTCCTAAGTGGGTCCAGGGTTCCAAGGCACTGGACCATCCTCGACTGCTTTCTCAGACCATAAGCAGGGAGCTAGATGGAAAGTGGAGCAGCTGGGACACAAACCAGAGCCCATATGGGATCCCAGCACATGCAAGACAAAGATTTAGCCACAAGGCTACCACTCATTACCCAAATAAGTAATTTTATTACTTCTCCAGATCTCCCACACGTGTGCAGGTCCCAAGGCTTTGGGCCATCCTCTACTGTTTTTCCAGGCCACAAGCAGGGAGCTGGAAGAGAAATGGAGCAGCTGGGATTTGAACCAGTGCCCATATGGAATCTCTGCACACGCAAAGCAAAGACTGTAGCCACTAGGTTACTGCACCAGGCCGTGTCAAGTTGTTTTGATTCAAAGCTTGACTTGTTGTTTATTTTTATGGTTTGGAGCATATAGTTTAAATTCGGTTCCTTCATCTGTAATACAGGGATAATAATGGTGCTGATCTTACAATGTTAGTGTGAAGATTAAATGAGGCAAGATGGGAAAGCACTTACAATATTGCCTGATGCACAGAATTTAAGAATCATTTTCTAGTGTTGGGTCTGGCAAGTGAATCAATTGGCTAATCATCCACCTGCAAGTGCCGAGATCTCATATGGACACCAGTTCATGTCCTGGCTGTTCTACTTCCCATCTAGCTCTTTGCTATGGCCTGGGAAAGCAGTAGAGAATGGCCTAAAGCTTTGGGACTCTGAACTCATGTGGGAAATCAGGGAGAAGCTTTTGGCTCCTGGCTTCAGATCTATTCAGCTCTAGCTGTTGCAGCCGTTTGGGGGAGTGAGCCAGTGGATGGAAAATCTTTTTGTCTTTCCTTCTCTGTAAATCTGCTTTTCTAAGAAAATAAACTTTTATAAAGCAAAATAAAATAATTTCATGGGTGCCTGTGTCCACCTGTGAGTCGGGTGCCAGGTTGATGAGCCCTGGAAACAAAGGATCCAGCGGGGCTTTGATCGCCTGGCTCAAATCCTTGGGCCCATCTGCAAGGCGGGGTGCCAGGTTTATGTGCCCCGGGGGTGGAAGATTCAGTGGGGCTCTGGTCACCTGTCCCGGTTACCTGTGCATGCCTATGAAGTGGGTGCCAGTTTCGTGACCCTAGAGGCCAGGGATCCAGTGGGGCTCGATCACCTGGCCCAGGTCTCTGTGATACCTGTGAGGGGATGCCAGGCTTCTGAGCCTCAGGGGTGGGGAATCCAGCAGTGCTCGGGTCACCTGGCCCAGGTCTCTTGGCCACCTCCGAGGTGGGTGTCAGGTTCATGAGCTCTGGGGGTGGGGGAATCTGGTAGGGTTTGGGTCTCCTGGCTCGGGTCCTTGGGTCCACCTGCGAGGTGGGTGCCGGGTTCATGAGCCCCAGGGGCAAGGAATCAATGTGGCTCAGGTCGCCTGGCCCAGGTTTCTTGGCCCATCTGCGAAGTGGGTGCTGGGTTCGTGAGCCCTGGAGGTAGGGGATCCAGTGGGGCTCGGATCACCTGCCCTGGGTCCTGGGGCCCACCTATTAAGATGATGTCGGGCTCATGATCCTAGTGACTGGGGATCTGACAGGGCTCATCAAGTCACCAAGCCCAGGTCCTTGCACTCACCTGCAAGGATATGCCCTCCTCAGTGAAACAGGCAGAGCAATGGACACACACCCTGATGCACATGGAGAATATGGCAGAGAACAGAGCAAGTCAGACATCTACCCCAGCCAAACAATGACAGCAAAAATCTGGATGAATGGAGACTTGAGGTTGACTATGTTACCAAACGGACATTGGGAGGGCTGTGTCGTCCTTGGATCGGCAAAACTGACAGCATTTCAGAACTATCCAAACCACTTACACAGAACCCTCAGAATGTGCACACATCAGGACTTGCGGTTGATATCGGGTGGTCGTTCCCCATCCCTGGGTACTGAGACATTTGGAAACCTGAATGTGGCTTCCCCGTTTATCTCTCTGCTTCCCCCAGAAACAAGAAAAAGAAATAGCAAATTTGGGAATAATGATTTCACCCAGGTATCCCTAACCCTCAATCCTTCCCACCCTGATCAACCATGTGATTATTATGAAATTTTTTTTAATTTCAAATGTCATATATTTCCACATTTTCTGATATTTCCTCCTCAAAGCAGCAGCAAGAAGTCATAAAAGTGACCCAAATGACTTAAGACCTGTGTCTTATACTGTTTCATTCTAAATAAGGAAGTATGCATATAAATAAATCTGTAGTGTGGTGCTATGATTTCAAAGAAATACAGTGTAAAACCTTGCTGCCCAAAGGACCAGCAAGAAGATGCTGAAATTAGCAGGGGGCTTACTAGAAATGCAGGCACATAAATAGGCCCAACCCCCAGTGTGGGGTGGATAGCCATGCTCAGAGTCTTAGAAGCACTGTTCTCAAGAACAAGACCAATTGCCTACAATGCAATATGAAAATATAAAAGTGCTCATAACAAATGATTGACATACAGACTATACAGTCAAATCAAACACACTGCTTTCTTATTCAAAGGAAGTAGAGTCATAATAAGAAACCCAAATTTCCTTTTGTTGAGGGAAGAAAACAAGCCTCTTCTGTTTCAACATTCATTAGAGTTCCCCAAAGAGTAGGCATTTCCAAAGACCAGAGTGGGCTTTTGCATTTCCTTCCAAGCACCCAGGGGATAAGACCTACCAAGGTTGACATGTTCCGAAAAACCTACTATGGTCCCCACTAACTTCCCCATTTCTTCAAACTCCCCCAAGCCTTCAAATACCCCAAACTCTTAATGGTATAAAAATTCCAGCATGCTGAAAGCCTGGATCCCTGCCACATGGTCACTCCGTCAACTCGCATCCAGATGTTCATCCTTTATGAATTGACTAATGTCTAGTAAATTCAGTTGAGAGGTGAATTCACTCCCCGTTTCTGCATCTTTTCCCCAACACCTTTAAAGATTGTTTACTTACCTAATGTTAAGGTATGTTAACATCTGAAGGTTTTTAATGGCTTCAGGAATGGTTTTGATGCAATTATGATATAAATTTAATGTTTCCAGAGGTGCAAATAACCAGACATCAGAAGGAATTTCTGTAAAACGATTTCTGGAAAGATCTGAAAAATAAAGAGTGTTTATTGTTAAACATACATCTCTACCTATGGTACAGAATAGAACTACCCTGGCTGAATCACTTACAGCCTAAGCACCTATTCAAAATATAAAATATTATAAAATATTATAATATTATAAGACATTATAATATTATAAAATTATTATTTACAAATACATTCACAGAAATCATACATATTTACAAAATGTACTTGATAAAATTCAATTTCTCTTTTAAATTGCCAATGAAGAATCCACTCTGGTCTTTTAAAACAAGCCAAGAAAGTTTCCCATGGCCCCAGAGCCACCTACATTTTCCTCTTCTGCTGTCACAGCCACATATACATAAATTCACAAATAAATTTGTTGCATAACATGGACTTCTCAACCCATGGCAATTTGCTTTCTACTCACTCTCACATTCACTGTGCTTATTAGCATCATTCCATATCAATAACCACTCCATCCATCTTGCAACCATTCCCTTCCCTTGGTTTGAAGACTATATTTCTACATCTGTTCTTATTATTTCTCTGCATTTCTTTTGCTAAAGTTTCCTCTACCTGTATCATAGGCACTATGATATAAGATGCTCTTTCATTCTTAAGATACACTCTACTGGGCGAGTGGCATACCAGGTAAAATCGACCTCCAAAGTGCCAGCATTCTATAAGAAAGCCAGTTCGAGTCTCAGCTGCTCTATTTCCAACCCAGCTGCATATTTATATGCATTGGAAAGCAATGAAAGATGGCCCAAGTCCTTGAAGGATCATTTGTAAAATGAAAATCTGCAAAATATTTAGGCCATCACATGGTAGGTTGTGAAATAACAATCTAAAAGGAGAGTTTCCAACTGTATCTACTACAAACATTTGTGGCTAGGTGCTGTTTGTTGGCTTGTGGGCTGACCTGAGCAGTACAGGATACTTAGCCACGTCACTGGTATCTAACCACTAGGTACCAGAAATACTCTTTAACCATGACAGCCAAAGCAGATCCCCCAATGTGCAAACCCTCTCATCTTGGCTGAGAACCACTGTTAAATCATTTACCTTATGCAAATATGTTTTACTTATATTAGTTCATTATAATTATTTGGTTAAAGATGTAAAACTATGGGGCCAGTACTGTGACCCAGGAAGTTAGTCTCTGCCTATGACATCAGCAGCCCACATGGGCTCTAGTGTTGTGGGCTAAAGAATTGACTAGCACTCTTAAGCCAAGCACCATAGGGAGTGGGCTTGGGGCTAGAAGCACCTGGTCTCAGCTGTATCCAATATGCGCTAATGAGGGTGTGGGGTACAGAGTAAACAAGAAGTAGGTGAAAGGTCAAGAGAGGAGGAAACAAAGGGAGGCCTCGGAGAGAGGCTTAGGAGAGACTTCCACCATCACTGGTCTCCTGTCGGTGCCTCATCCCTCAGATCCTCACCGTGTCCACACTTCTGGTCTCTAAACCCACATGAAAAACCCAGAAGAAGATCCTGACTTCAGATTGAGCAGCTGCTCTAGCCATTATAGCTATTTGAGGAGTGAACCAGCAGATGGAAGATCTATTTCTCTGTCTCTCCTTCTCTTTATAATTATGCTTTCCAAATATAAAAAAAATATTTTTAAATGCAAAAATATTATATACTCTGTCAATGAGACTTATTTAATTAGCAATATAGTAAATTACCTATTCAGAGCATTAATGTGTATTAATTCATATGTGTAGAGATGGATAAAGAGATTCTCATTTTTCATTAATGTAAAACTATAGTTGATAAAAGAAAACATTAGCTAATATTATATAATACAAAAATTAATTTTAATTATTTTTCTCCTACCATAGGATTCTGAAAAACTTAATAAAATGACAAATTGATAAAAAAAAAAAAAAAACAAAATATGAATCTGACACCAAGTTTCTCAGTATTCTGGCTTACATCCTCTGGAAACCCTAGCATCATATAATCATATTTGAGAGGAAAATGAAGTCACTGATTTTATTTTAAGATAGGTTTATTTTACATTTAGGGTTTTACCTCCTATTGTTGCAACTTCAAAATTCTGGGAGTTGAAAATTACTGCCTACAATTATTTTGAAATCCCCAAAACAAAAGTATGCCTGGTTTGTTATTTTGTATTTTAACTAGTATTAAATAGTCATAAATATTGCATTGGTCCCAGAGATAGATGATAGCTGCTTGAATTAAGACCGAAAAAACAGGATAAGAGAAAATGAATAGAATTCGAAACATGTTTTAATTAGGACACTGTGCTCACAGAGAATGCAAGGGACTGGCTATTTGGGATAAATAACAGAGAAGGGTCAAGGATAGCAGCCCTCAAGAAATGTTTTCCCACCCATTCTCAGCTTTTCTGGTGCTGCAGGGCCAAGATGAGCAGAAAGAAGTCAGTTGACAAGTTCACATGCAGGACACGTGGGATACAGGGCCAGATGTTACTGCTTCATCTGTCTGTGGGACTTCATAGGCAATACTTTATTCCAACTAATGCAACAGTACAAGATCTGGTGAGAGAGCTCTCCTGTCCATACACTTAGTTTGGCATTGGGAATGACAGCAAACACAGCCAGCACTATAGCAGGTGGGAAACAGGAACTAGCACACACTGTACCCAAGATTGTGCCGGTCTGGTGACCATCAATAATGACAAAGACACAACACATCAGCTAACTGATAGCATCAGGGTCATTGTACAACTGGTAAATCAGCATCAGCTCCAGGATCAGGTCATAGGGCCAGGTTGGCTTAGGAAGAGTTGGCAACCCAACCAACTTTGACAAAAGATTAAAGTTGCACTGATTGGCCACCCACAGGACTGCTTCTTGGACACCAACGTTGACTTAGTGCAACCGGGACCACAGGGCACCATGAGATTTATCACCGACCCCTGAGTCACCTAGACTACACATTCATCTGCCAGGCTTTCCCCCTGCCCCCTGCTGGCCCAAAAACAGGATGAGGACGTTCCTTCACCCAGGGCAAACATTCTGGATCTTGCATTAACCATTAAATTTCTCTTGCTCCAAAATAATCCACAATGGCATGCAGAATTCTCCTCGCTGCACCCCAGCGTTAGCACCCCATAAGCAGTAGGCAGGTGTGACTCCATTTTGTTTCTTAAGTTTCAAGCATAGCTAACTGTGGGTATCACTTCTGTAAACATGCTTGCTAGGTGATTCATTTAAGGTGTGCTCTGAACTTAAGTTGACTGGGTAATTTGTAATACATAACACCTGAGTACATCAAATGATTTTTTTTTTTTAATGGCTGCAGCCAACTTATTCCATTGGATAGTTTGTACTACTATGCTAGCTAAGTTGATGATATGGAAACTTAAAAACCCCAGACTTCAGCCATACGAGGCTATGGTTCCTGTAGTGTGACAGGAGGTACCGTCACCAAGCTTGGCTAATAAAGACTCCTCATTATACCCTACACTGTGTTTGGCCTAATCTTTCTTGCTCTCCGTAACAGGACTTCAGCTATAAGCCACCAGGAAGGCCAACACTTCCAAGTATTTTCTAAGCCTTCTTTTTTTAAAGATTTATTTATTTTTATTTAAAAGGCATATTTAGAGAGAGAAGAAACACAAAGAAAAATCTTCCACCAGCTAGTTCACTCACTAAATGGCCACAAAGACAGCAACTGAGCAGATCCAAAGCCAGGAGCTTCTTGGGGTTACCTACGTTGGTGCAGGATCCCAAGGACTTAGGACACCCTCTGCTGCTTTCCCAGGCCATAAACAGAGAGCTAGATAGGAAGTAGAGCAGCCAGAACACAAACCGGTGCCCATAAGCATCCTCTGCTGCTTGAAGGTAGAGGAATAGCCTGGTAAGCCACACCTTTGGCTCCAACTGTTACAAGCATTGAGGGCCCCAGCATGATGGCTCAATCGGCTAATCCTCCACCTCCAAACACCAGAATACCATATGGGCACTGGTTTATGTCCTGGCTGCTCCACTTCCCATCCAGCTCCCCACTTCTGACCGGGGAAAGCAGCAGAGGATGGCCCAAGTCCTCGGGACCTGCAGCTACATGTAAGATGTGGAAGAAGCTTCTGGCTTTTGCTTTTGGACCAGCTCAGCTCCAGCCACTGAAGCCATCTGGAAAGTGAACCAGCAGACGGAAGATCTTTCTGTCTCTTTCTCTCTGGTAAATCTGCCTTTCAAATAAAAATAAAGAAATAAATTTTCTTTAATAAAAAAAAGTCTTAGGAAAAAATAGATAAGATGCTCTAAAATATAAATATAAAACACTCTAAGCATATGAAAAGATTAAATAAGTTAAAAAAATGACAGGAGAAAAAAATAAAATAGCAATATATGTTCATCTACAAGGGTGAGGGAACTTTCCCACATCTGTGGATCCACCCTCCAAATGGTTGTAGCAGCCATGACTGGGCCAGACTAAAGCCAGAAATCCAGAATTCAGTCTGGTTCTCCCATATGAGTGACACTAACCCACACATGTGAGCTACCAACAGGTTCTCCCAGTGTACACATTAGCAGGCAGCAGGAACAAGAAACTGAGAAAGGATTCTAGCTCACATATCACTTGGACAAGGAAAGCACACTTCCCAAGCAGAATTCTTAACTGTTAGGCAAGTGTCTGCTCTTGAAATAGCAATATGAACAAGAGCTGCTTCAGTAAAACAAAGAAATTAGAAGCAAGATGTCATTTTAATAACTTGCATAGTTTTTATGATTCTTTGTGTTCTTTTTCCCACTCCCTAAAAGATGATCTAGTTAAATTACAAAGTAATATTACAGGCTCACTAGGGAATATAATTAAATTTACAATCATAAGCTATTTTCTGGATAAGTTTGTCATATATTTGGTTAGTAAACACCACTTCAAATTATTATAATTACTATTCTAATTGAGCAGTGTTAAAGCTAATAAAGCATAACAAAGTCAAAATTAAAATTCAAGCTTCTACAAAGTCTGTAAGTTAAAGAAATCTAGTTCTCAAGTATTTCAGATTTGCACCAGAATAA